AGTGGCAATAAGCTTCAAACGCGAGTAAACGTGACCGCATTTGGTGAAGAAACGCTGTTTTAGCAGACAGGAGTAACTATTTTGAACATAGTATTCTACAATATCTGAATTCACTCTTATATGTAAAGCACTGAGACTTCTAATATGTGGTACCTACCATTACTGACACACAGATAGAGTTGCTGTGACAGTCATGTGTTTTCAACACGTTGGGTAAGAGGATGGAATGTTGAAGGAGTTCATAAACGATTCCTAACAAATTTTTATCATTCGGGGCACGAAGACTGCCGCATTAGACTGAAGAACACGCTTTAGGGCAAGTTGTCATCCGTCATCTGCTCTACAGATGAATTGCTGTGCGCCGCATCTCGGAGGCAATGCTTTAGATCATATGGTTCAAAGTAGGGACAAAGATTACGCCTCCCTTAATTGTATCGACAAAAACATCGTGAAATTCATTTTAACGTACTATACTTCAGTTTTGCATTCGCAATGTGGATTCTTGTTTCCACGTTTCTGGTGGCAGAGCACATTGTACTTATCGAGAAATATGTTCATCTGGCTCCAAATAATCTTTTCAAAAGTAATAATAAAAATGCTTAACACAGACATTGGTCTGTAAGTTGCAGGGTTAACCGAATCACCTTCTTTATGAATACGAATGGCTTTAGCAATTTTCAGGGTAGTCTGATACTGTGTCTGCGCACTTGAATTATCGTATAAACGACATAGAAGTAGTCCTAGAATATCAATACTTTATTTATTTAACTTTACATAAAGGCCGTGAGGCCCTGATGCTTTATTATTGGTTGTGCTAAATACAGATGAAACTACGTCATGAACTTCTGTCTCATTTGAGATAAATGAATTTTCTACTGATTTTAGAGTGAGAATAACTTTATGATTTAAGTGATGTAATTGTGCTGCCAGTGCTGGGCCGACGGTGGTAAATTACGCGTTCAAATCTTCGACGGTGGCCGTATCACGCTCTTTTTGTTTTTTTACGCAACTTCATTTGGAATTCGCCACAGCTGTTTTGAATCACCAGCAGCTTGAATGATACGTTGTGAATTAAAATTTTGCTAAAAAATTTTGCTTCTATATTGACTTATATAGTAAGCGTTACTTCTTATACGCCTCCACTTACGATACCAATGTTTTTAAGCTTTTATTATTTCTAAATTTGAGGACGTCATCCTAGGACACATAGGCACTTTATACAAACCTACAGTATGTTTAGCGCTGCACTGTTTTCAAGCTAGTAATTAAATTGATTAGGTTGTCAAATTCTCTGTGTGCGTTATTAGTGTAAATTTGTATCAAATGCCATGAAAATTGGCTAATGATCGGAAAGTTAGGCTATGCATTACGCTCGCTATACCAGATTTAATATTTGTTAAAGCATGATCAATTAGTGCAGTCGAAGTGCTTGTTACACGTGTTGGTTGACTTATTAAATTTCGGAAGTTAAACGATTCGAGAAGGTAAGCATAATCCTTTTGAATATGAGTGTGTGTCAATATTCAGGTCCCCAACAATTACCTCACCGTACCATGGTATATCTGCAAAAAAAGAGGTAATATATTGCTTCCATTTTATCGATAAAACTGGCAGGGGTTCCGTTTGGCGGATAATAGCCCACAATATATTCAGTATATATTTTCACAAATAGCACTTCAATGTCAGTGGATGAAAATGCAACCGATGGCAGTAGCGTGTATATGGGAGATTATTTTTTAGAAGGGTGACATCGCCCCTTCGAAAGGAAGTCAACCGTGGGTGTAATAATCTGCAACCGGGCAGGTCAACAACTTCCTCGTTGAAAAGATAAGTTTCGATTCCCGCAATGAAATCATACAGGAATTTGTGCATCGATAAAAGTGACGTGTTTAGGTTCATATTTTTCTTAGACTGTGCATGTTTTAATAGAAAATAGGCACACTTTTTTACGAAAAGATTATCAATTTGCTTCAATGTGTAAGCCGTTTTGGTTTAATTGTTATACTTGATAGGCTATACCAAGGTATACGGATCACACTATTTGAGCTAAATATTCTTCACGTGTAAGGCTGATGACCCTAGAGTTGTCAGCCTTCTGCATGAGTCCCTTGCCTTCCGATACCAGACAGATGTTCAGTTTTTTTTTCTCGCTTCATTTGAAATGCCTTTCCGAGCAGTGCCTTATATTCTGGCATAGAGTTTTTTTTTACGTACAGTGGTTGCACTATTTCTAAGCCAAGCACTGCTGTTGTTGGTAGTTTCTTGCGGCTTGCAGGATTAGGTTGCGCTTCCGGCGTGAATTAAACCTGTCAATCACTTTGGTTGGTCCATCGGCCTTCTCACGCACACGATGAATGGCATCAATGTCTTCCGCGACAAAATCAACAATCAAGAATTTAATAATCTTTTGCATTGTCTCACCGAGAACCTCAATTTAAGTACAGTTCTAGGTTGTTTCTGTGAATGTACTGCTTCAATTCAGTCAGTTTCTTGCGTGTTTCTGTTAGTTCTTTATCCGTCCGCTTGTTTTCCGTTTGACAAACTACTCTTTCTTTCTGCACCTGAGAAATCTCTTGTCGAAAGCTTGGAATTTTCGGCTTGAATTCTTCAAAGTTACTATTGATGAAGCCCATTGAAACGGCAACAGATTTGAACCCAGCTTTTATGTGGTTATAAGACCTGTCGATATATTGATTTCCGTTTTCACTTGCGATAACACTTGATAAATTTCGTGGTCATTTCAACCATTGTCTTGACAACCTCTTTACATGGAGGGTGCAAGCAAATTACACAACCAATAAAGGTGGTCACAGCTCTGAAATGACAAGGTCGAGGAAAACAACAAAATGTGAACAACGTATTTCACGTCACTATCAGTTCAGGAGTCGAAAAAACCCAAAAAATCTGTACCTCAAAGATATCGCAAAACTCAACTTCGAGGTCACGCTGATGCATAGTAAACTGTTACTTGATTAACAACAGTACTGAAAGTTGGGCGAGTTGGTACTCATTCATGACTTCTTTGCGCAAACACGTACACGGACTCTTTTCCTTGTGTCCGTGTACGTGTTTGCGCAAAGAAGTCATGAATGTTACTTGATTTCGGCCGACTGAAAAGGGCATAGTGGGACATACCCAAGAAAGGTGCCTCAGACTGAGAGTGAAGAAGTGGACGTTGTCGGTGAGCTACGTTGAGGCTGCAAACTGACTAATGTTATTTTCCACCTAACATTTTGGTGGAGGTGCTGGGTACTTTTTTGACAACGTAGCTACGCAGTGGACGCCTCCTTAAGTCTGCTACCATGGCTCCGGGTGAGGATACGGCTTCGCCACCTATTTCGGCAACGACAGCAACCCGGTACGTCGCCCTAACGCAACCCCGTGATCCTGGTACCTTTACTGGAGAGGAAAACGCGAATGAGGACAAGTGGCTGAGTATGTACGAGCACGTTAGCAAGCAATATGGCTGGGACCCAACCGTTATGCTTGCGAATGTCATTTTCTATCTTGACAAGACCCCTCGCATCTGGTTTAAGACTCATGAGCACGAAACCACAAGCTGGGGAATGTTTAAACAACAGCTCCGCGACCTCTTTGGCAAACCGTATGGTCAACAGCTTGATGCCCGAAAGCAATTTGCCGCACGTACACAGACGTCCACTGAGCCCTACTTGACTTATATTCAAGACGTCTTAGCGTTGTGTGAAAGGGCCGATCCCAACATGACTGAGGCCAACAAGATTTCGCACGTTTTAAAAGGAATCGCCGACTATGCGTTCAGCCTCCTTGTATTTACAAACGTTACGACCATTGACGCCGTGATCAAAGAGTGCCGCCGCAAGCGAAGAGTCGACGCATTTTGCAGCAGTTCCAGCGCCTACCCAACACCGCGGCAACGTCGTCTTGCGAAGCCACTCCTTGTCATTCGTCTACAACCGAAGACGTGACGCGTATCGTTCGAAGTGAACTCGAGGCCGCTTACCCGGCCGCCAACAAACCGACATTGCCCGACGCCTCAACGCCAGCTGTCTTTTTGATCCAGGCTGTTGTCCACCAGGAATTCGCTAACCTGGGTATCCTGTCAACTGCACCCACCCTGGATAATACCGATCCCTTGATAGCTTCTGTGGACATGAGACGTCGCCGTCCGTACTATGTTCGAGGCAGAAACCCGTCTGAATGGCGAACAGCCTATGATAAGCCAATCTGCTTCCGCTGTGGTCGCGTGGGACACATCGCTCGTTACTGCCGCAGCCAGTGGCCATCTATGCCTTCTGGCTCGTACCCCGCTTACGGAAACTCATTCTGTCCACCAAACCACTGTTATCCGACCCGCACTGAGTCTACAGCATTTACTGCCCCTGAGGACTACAGCCACCCTGTCCCGTCGTCGCCGCCGCCTCAAAGCCGCCCTTGTCGTTCAAATACGCGTCGCTGCTCTCCCTCGCCATCGTTTAACCGCCGCATGTCCCCGGAAAACTATGCTGCGCAGCTTCTGGAGGTGAAGCTGCACTTTCGACCTTACCCAAAATTATACCCCTTGAAGTATATGTTGATGGCACACCTGTTGAAGCTTTTATTGATACGGGCACTCACGTCTTTATTATGAGTTCGCGTTTTCGTCGTCGCATGAAGAAGCTCCTCACGCCCCCCATTACCAGTATCGTCCAAGTTGCAGATGGCGCAACAGTCTCTGTCGTCGGTATGTGCACAGCTACACTTACCGTAGCTGGTCATCAATGTATCAGACCCAGGTAGGCTGATCAAAGACTGAGACGGTCACCGATGAAGCAGGATGCAGCAATGCCTTGCCGGGTTTATTGTCGCCGCTTATATTAGGCATAATCGGTCGGTGCGCACCGGAGTGCGCATCATGAGTCATGGTCAGCATGACCCAGCACGATACATCTCCCATCCTTTTTTTTTTAACAAGGCGTAAAAAAGAAGTGCAATGCGATAGAAAAAATACAAATTCAACAGTATTCCGCCGGAACTAGCCGCTAAACTATTTGAGCAAAGTTGGGGCCGTATGCTAAACGTCTTGGTTCCTCCCTAATGCGCGCGGATCTTCTAGGTGCCGGCGAAGTCACGCGAGGCGGGCTCTGATGTGGAGGCTCTTCTGCGTCATCATCTCCGACGTCAGTGTCACTGTCGCTGGAGTACGTAAATGGCTCCGAGGTTGCCAGCAGCTGTTGGCGGTTACGCCGCAGCGTTCTCCCCTCTCCTGTTGCGACGTTGTAGGACCTCGGGGCTACTTTTCCCAATACCTTAGCCTTTTGAGACCAAGCCTGGCCTTTCACGCGAACCACGTCTCCCGGTAGGAGTGGTCTCAGCCGTCGTCCAGACGACGTCTGCTGGCGCTTTTTTACAGGACTCTTGGGCTGCAGGTTGAAGTCGGGGATCCTAGTGCGTAGAGGCCTGCCCTGCAGAAGTTCCGCCGGCGACCGGCCATCCTGCAAGGGAGCAGAGCGGTAACCAAGTAACCCAAGCCAAAAATCTTCATGTGTGGTCCCAGTCTTCTTAAGCAGCCGCTTTATAATTTGGACACCCTTTTCTGCTAGCCCGTTGGAACGTGGAAACATTGGGCTCGAAGTTATATGTTTGAAATCGTACCATCTGGAGAACGTGGCGAATTGGTGACTTGCGAACTGGGGGCCGTTGTCTGTGCAGACTTCCATCGGTATTCATACCTTGCAAAGATGGCTGCCAGCTTGTCGATAACCGCAGTTGCCGATGTCTCCTCGAGTTTTTCAACTTCTGGAAAATTTGAATAGGCATCAAAAACAGCAAGGTACGTGGCTCCAGCATAACAAAAAAGATCTACGCCCACTCGGTACCAAGGGTGATCAGGAGGGGTTCGTAGCAAGAGGGGCTCGTCCGGTTGTTTGTACGCATAGGTTTTACAGACAGCACAATTCCGTACAACGTCAGCAATGTCAGAGTTCAAACCAGGCCAAAATACTAAACGCCGTGCCCTAGCTTTGCACTTATTTAAACCAAGATGGCCCTCGTGAATGCGGCTTAGGGTTTCTGGACGCAGTTTCTTTGGTATAACTACTTTACAGCCCTTCAGAAGAATTCCGTCGACAACTGAAAGTTCAGAGGCGAACGGCTTGAGTGTTCCTTCGAAGTCTTTGTTTAACGACAAGCTTTCTACTACCGCACGTAGCTCCGGGTCGTTAGATGTTTCCCGAGACAAAAGCTGTTTCGTTCTTTCACTCACTAAAGATGACAAAACGGCCACTGCGTGTACTTGAATGTCGCCAAAATCCACTGTGTCTTCACGCTCTGACGGTGTGGCCCTTGAGAGCATGTCAGCAAGGACCAATTCTTTGCCTGGAACAAACTGTAGAACATAGTCGTATATTAATAAGCGCAGAAAAAATCTTTGAAGTCTTGGGGGCATGTTCCCAATATCTTTGGACGAAATGGCTAGCAACGGTTTGTGATCGGTGTCGATCACAATTTTCCTACCGTACACAAACTGGTGGAACTTCTCGCAACCGTATGCTATACCCATCGCTTCTTTCTCTATTTGAGAATAACGCTTTTCAACGTCGGTCATGGCTCGTGACGCGTAGGCGATAGGACGCCAGCCACTGGAGTGTCGCTGGAGCAGTGCGGCCCCTATGCCATCCTTAGATGCGTCTGCCGTTATCTTTGTCTCTTTCGCGGGGTCGAATATAGCGAGGAGCGGGGCAGTGCGCAGCGCTTCGCAGACTGCGTGCCATTCCTGAGCGTGTTTTTCGGTCCAGTCAAATACGGTGTCCTTCCGTATCAGGCTTCGAAGAAGCTTCGTTCTATCAGCGAGAGTTGGCACATATTTTCCAAAATAGTTTATTACTCCAAGCATACGTTGTACGGCAAGTTTTTCAGTTGGTACGGGCATTTTGCTCAAACAGTCTACAAGAGCTGCATTTGGACGAATTCCTGCTGAGCTGATAACATCGCCCAAGAAAACTATCTTCTGCACTCCAAACTGGCACTTCGCCCTGTTGAATGTTAGCCCTGCGCGTTGGGCTGCGCATAGAGCGGCTTGAAGGCGACTGTCATGCTCTTGCTTGGTTGCTCCCCACACGAGAATGTCATCAATGTATACTCTAACTCCGGGTAAATGGTCAAAAATCTCGCTCAGTGTTTTCTGGAAGACTTCGGGGGCAGATGCAATGCCAAATGGAAGTCTAAGAAATCGGTAGCGCCCGAACGGCGTGGCGAACGTGCATATCTTTGAGGTAGGTTCATCAAGGGGAATTTGGTGAAACCCTGCGTTAGCGTCTAGTCGACTGAAGAAATTCGCACCAGACAGCTCCGCCTCAATGTCTTCGCGTTGTGGCATCTGGTAGTGTTCGCGTTTCAAGCATGCGTTTACGCTTCTTGGATCCATGCATACCCTGAGGCTACCGTCTTTTTTTCTTACAATAACAAGCGGGCTTACCCAATCAGTTGGTTCGTCCACCTTGCAGATGATGTTCGCCTGTTCCATGCGCACCAGCTCTTTCTGTAGGGGTTCCCGTAAGGCCGAAGGAACGCGTCGCGCTGCATGGATCACTGGAACCGCATCGTCATGTAGTACCATACGATATTGCCGCTTCACGCACCCAGTGCCTTCGAAGAGGTGGCTGAATTTCTGCGTCGTTGGGAGAGACCGTTGCGTCATTGGAGTCATCCCTTCAGTGGTTACGAAATCAATCACCCTGGAGACAAGTGCTAGAGATTCAGCCAGTTCGAGACCTAATATACTCTGGCCCCGCTTCACAACGAAGAAATCTGCAAGGCACCGACGCTCGTTGATCGTAATCACCTGAGTTGTCACTCCGTAGTGCATGATAGCGTTTCCGCTATAGGATCGTAAAACGGAATTACTTGCCCTGAGGGGTGGATTCGTTCGGAATCTTTTGTACACTGACAGTGGTAATAAATTGGCTTGGGAACCAGTGTCTACTTTGAATGCAACTTCTTGCTGTCCAACTTGGGCCTTAACAATCCAATCTGTTTTCTGGATTCCGCACACGGTGACGTCCAAGATTGCAAAGTCTTCCTTTTCCTCTTGTACTTCGTCGACCTCATACTTTCTGCAACAAACCGCAAAATGATTTCGGCCTGCGCAGGCGCGGCATATTTTGCCAAAGGCGGGACATTTCCTAGGCTCATGTCTTCGATTGCACTTGCAGCACTGGACAGGAGCTTTCCGGCCTTGGGTGCGATGTAGGTAACGTTTTTCGGTGGCGTCCACTCTTGCTTCGTTACCTTGCCATGCTTCGTTTTGCTTGTTCGCGAGCTCTGCTGCTTTGCAGATTTGTTCGGCCTTCTGGAGCGTCAAGTCCTTCTCGCGTAGCATCTTTTCCCTCAGTTTAGTGTTCCAGGAGCCAAATACGATTTGGTCGCGTATCATCGAGTCAGCAAGCGGACCGAAGTTGCAATACCTTGCTTGCTTGCGCAGGTCTCTTATGAAATGTTCCACTGGTTCAGCTTCATCTTGCGTCCTTGTCCTGAAGACATATCTTTCGTAGACTTCGTTTTGCTGCTCTGCACAGTACTCTTCAAATTTCTTTACCACAGTCTGGTAGTCTTGCTTGTTCTCGCCTTCTGCGAATGTAAAGTTATTGAAGACTTCTAAAGCGTCGTCCCCAGCAGCAGTCAGGAGCCTGGCTGTTCTAGCAGCTTCTGTCAGTCGTGTAGCTGGCTCTGTTGCTTGTAGAAACAATTCGAACTTTTGTTTAAAAAGCTGCCAGTTCTTCTGAACATTTCCTGTCAGGCATAGTCGGTCCGGTGGCTTCAGTAGTTCCATGATTGTCGGCACCGGCGAAGCGATGTGGTAGCATCCGCCGTCGACCCCACTTCTGACACCATGTATCAGACCCAGGTAGGCTGATCAAAGACTGAGACGGTCACCGATGAAGCAGGATGCAGCAATGCCTTGCCGGGTTTATTGTCGCCGCTTATATTAGGCATAATCGGTCGGTGCGCACCGGAGTGCGCATCATGAGTCATGGTCAGCATGACCCAGCACGATACAATCAAGTGGTCAGCCTTTTTACCGTGCTTGCAACATGTCCCCACGACCTCATACTAGGCCTGATTTTCTTGCCGCCAATTCTGCTCTGATTGATTGCTCCACTGGTGTTCTCCGCCTTGAACTACCACAAATCAGTGACGCCCCGTACCAACCTACATGCCGATTACAGTACAGTGACTTTGTTCACCTGCCTTCCAAAACTGTGACGTACATCGATTTTCTGTGCTCACCAGCTGGACCCGACGGTGACTATTACGTTACGCCTCTCACCGACGTACTCCTTGCGCAAAATGTTGCAGTGCCCTACATGGTGGTCAGCATCACAGATAACACAACTTGTCTACCACTTGTCAATTTCGGCTACATGAATCATGTGCTTCCACAAGGCGTTTCTGCGGCCCACCTGTGTCCGTTGCTCGATTCACAAATTGAAGTGCTTGCCTTAGACACTTTTGTTTCACCGCAGCGCACACCACTCGCAACAAATTCGGGCAGCCGTCAAATTGAAGACATGATCGCAACTGATTTTCCGCCTCCGCAAGTTGAAGCCCTACAGCATCTTCTCGAGGCCTACCAGGATATTTTCCATTTTGGTGACCGACCTCTAGGGCAGACCTCCTTTGTCCAGCATCGCATACACACAGGTGATGCCAACCCTGTTCACCGCCGTCCCTACAGAGTGTCTGTTTTTGAGCGGAGCATCATTCAGAAGGAGGTGAACAAGATGCTAGCGAAGGACATTATTGAACCATCCTCCAGTCCCTGCGCATCCCCGGTGGTATTAGTTAAAAAAAGACGGATCGTGGCGATTTTGTGTGGACTATCGCCACCTTAACAACATCACCAAGAAAGACGCATACCCTCTGCCCTGAATTGACGACGCCCTTGATTGCTTCCATGGTGCCACCTACTTTTCTTCCATCGATCTTCATTCTGGTTAATGGCGGGTTGCCGTGGACCCCATGGACCGAGAGAAGACGGCTTTTGTAACACCTTATGGCCTCTACCAATTCAAAGTCATGCCCTTCGGCTTATGTAATGCCCCCGCCACCTTTGAACGAATGATGGACTCCCTGTTCCATGGATTCAAGTGGTCTACGTGTATTTGTTGTCTGGATGACGTGATTATGTTTGCTCCCACTTTTGAAGCACACCTTGAGAGACTGTCGAAAATTCTTGATCTATTCCGTCTCGCCGGCCTTCAGCTGAATTCATCCAAGTGCCGGTTTGGTCGCCGCCGCATTACAATACTTGGACATATTGTTGACGCTTACGGCGTACAGCCTGACCCAGAAAAAGTTCGAGCTGTGAAGGACTTTCCTGTGCCGAAAACCACCTAAGATGTCCGCAGCTTTGTGGGCTCTGCTCGTACTTTCGACGGTTCATCAAAAACTTCGCGGAAATCGCTCGGCCCCTAACAGATTTACTCAAACCAGATGAGACGTTTACCTGGGGTCCCTCGCAAGCAGCAGCATTCTCCGACTTGACCACTTTGCTCACTTCCTCTCCTGTTCTGGTTCACTTCGACTCTACGGCACCGACCGAAGTCCGCACCGATGCCAGCGGTTGCGGAATAGGTGCTGTGTTGGCTCAGCGACAAGGTGGGCAGCATCGCGTGATAGCTTATGCCAGCAGGCTGCTGTCCCCCTCGGAGCGTAATTATTCCGTCACAGAGCACGAATGCCTAGCGCTGGTGTGGGCAGTCGGTCGCGAAATTTCGCCCTTACTTATACGGCCGCCCATTTATAGTTCTCACCGACCACCACGCACTTTGCTGGCTCGCCTCCCTCAAAGATCCCACAGGTCGTCTCACCCGCTGGGCACTCCGCCTCCAAGAGTATTCTTACACCGTAGTGTATAAATCAGGAAAACTGCACAAAGATGTGGATTGTCCGTCACGCTACCCTGTGGCCGACTGAGATCCTACGAGCACTGATTCTCTGGGTTGCATCCTTTCCATCTCCCAGCTGCTTCATCTCGAGAACGAGCAGCGTCGCGATCCGGATATCAGCCGCCTAATACAACAGCTCGAATCTTCACCGCAAGACGCTTCTGTTCGCATGTTTACCTTAAAGGACCACACCTTATATCGGCGCAATTTATCGCCCTATGGTCACGACCTACTTCTGGTCATACCAAAGCACCTGTGCTCTACAGTCCTACGCGAGCTCCATGACGCGCCAACCGCGGGTCACCTTGGTGTCTCTCGCTGACTGTGTGCGCCGCCGCTTCTACTAGCCTGGCCTTTCACGCTCTGTACGTCGTTATGTCGACGCTTGCGAAATTCGCCAGCGTCGCAAAAAGCCGTCAGGACTCCCTTACGGATATCTTCAGCCCATCGACGTCCCATCGGAGCCATTCTTCCGTGTTGGTTTGGACCGTCTCGGTCCCTTCCCAACATCCACCTCCGGAAACAAGTGGGTCACGGTTGCTACTGATTACGCAACCCGCTTTGCAGTTACTCGAGCCATGCCAACAAGCTGCGCTACAGACGTCGCTGATTTTCAACTACGCGATCTCATTTTAGTGCATGGAGCCCCTCGTCAACTGCTGACAGACCAGGCCCGTACGTTCCTTTCGGAAGTGGTTGACGGTCTCCTGCGTTCCTGCTCTACCCAACGTAAGCTCACGACATCGTACCATCCCCAGACAAACGGGCTTACAGAACGTTTGAACCGCACCTTGACGGATATGCTATCGAAATACGTCTCGGCCGACCATCGTGATTGGGACCTTGCACAACCCTACGTGACGTTCGCATACAATTCCTCCCGGCATGACTCTGCTGGGTACTCGCCATTTTACCTTCTATTTGTACGCGAACCAACATTGTCATTGAATACCTTCCTGCCAGCCGCTGCGCATTCTACTTCTGAGCATGCACGCGACGCTATTACCCGAGCTGACCATGCTCGTCAGCTTGCCCGCAGCAGATTAATGGCGTCCCAAGACTCGCAGAAGCATCGTTACGACGAGCGGCATCGTGACGAACACTTTCCGACAGGTTCCCTCGTTCTTCTTTGGTTTCCTACGTGACATGCAGGCCTTTCAGAGAACCTTCTCACTCGTTTCACGGGCCCATACCACGTGCTTAGACGAGTGACCGACACTACGTATGAAATTGTCCCTGATAATCCATCAACCTCTTCTTCTCTGCTGTGTCGGGACATCGTCCACGTATCAAGGCTAAAGCGTTACGTCACTGCTCCTGCTGTGGCCCTGTAAGCTCGCCGGGTTGGCGCTTTTGCCGCCGGGGGTTGTGTTACGTGATTTCGGCTAACGTAAAAGGGCATAGTGGGACATACCCAAGAAAAGTGCCTCTGATTGAAAGGGAAGAGGTGGACGTTGTCGGCGATCTGCGTTGTGGCTGCGAACTGACTACTGTTATATTCCACGTAACAATATATATATATATATATATATATATATATATATATATATATATATATATATATATATATATATATATATATATATATATAATATATATATATATATATATATATAAACCAAGCCTAGTGCACATTGTTCCCAATAACGTTACAAAAACCAGGCCCATTTTGCAGCTCCCCGTTGGCGTGTGCTCTCCGATATCGCCAAGGTGGCCGGCGCGAGAACTAGAGGCGCTGCTGTGCCATTTTGCTTAGAAAAGAGTAGTGCATTTGTTTTCGAATGACACTAGCAACCATGCACTGCGGGGAAGCCGGTGCACAGGCCGCATCATCGAAAGCGGCCGCTGTCCACCGGGAATTCGTCAAATGACTGGCGTGCGTTCTGTAGCTGGTTAGCTATGTACGGGTGCTTTTATTTGCTTTAGATTCACGTCCTTAAGCTTCGACAGTAAAGTATTTGCGTGGATTCGGCACTATATTAAAAAAATAGCGAAAATTATCAATTATCAATCTTCCATAGCTGGCGCCATCTGACTATACCGCAGCGGCAGTGCGTGTTAATCGGCACTGCGCTACGCATTTGTCCTTTGCGTTACTGGACAGACTAAAAAACAAAACATGGATGATACTCCTGTGTAGGAAACAGTTGATATGTTGGGTTTAACGTCCCAAACCCACCACATGGTTATGAGAGACGCCTAGTGGAGGACTCCGGAAATTTCAACCACCTAGAGTTCTTTAACGTGCACCCAAATCTGAGCACACTAGCCTACAATATTTCCGCCTCCAACGGAAATGCACCCGCTGCAACCGGGATTCAATCCCGCGGTCTGTGGGTCAGCAGCCGAGTAGCTTAGCCACTAGACCACCGCGGCGGGGCGTATAAGAAATGGTACAAGACACTACAGTGAAACATGTTTTTACAGATGTAGTACAGCGTTTATTGAGCATTGTTTCAGAAACATCAACCAATTGCAAGGTCACGTTAAGAACGGCAAGCAGCTCGAAACTTACAATGCACACCTGAAGGAGAAAGCACACACAAAACTGGCATACATAGGACGACTGCGGACTAACTAAAGACTAACAACTGTCACAATTCTTCCTGCGTCTTTTGTCAGCAGCGCGCTCCTTTCGTAAACGCGGCCATGGCAATATGCGAAGGGATCTTTCTGCTCTCCCGAATTACGAGTCTGATAAGCGCGTGCGCATGAAAGACCACACTCTGTGGGACCGTGAGGGTGGCGGTGTTTTTTTTTTTTTTGGAAGCGGCGACTTTGAGAGGAAGTCGAAGGCGAGACCGTCGCGACATCTTGGCACTGATAACGCAAACGTGCAAAAGAAGCTCTTGACAGCAGCCAAACAGTGTGTGGTGTACAT